AGATATTTAGAGCTGAATTAAAAGGGTTATGCATGAAATTGTGAGTTATTTTGGATTTAAGTTGAAAGAATGTGAGGAATGTGCTTAAATTACTATTTATTAATTGATCAAATCTAGTCATTTAAAGGGTAACTAAACATTAAAACAACTTTTTTTAGTTAATGATCTGTAAGAATGGAGCTTCATAAATGCTGTTCATTGATTTGAGTAAATTTTTTGACATTTGGGTTTAAAGTGTTTTAATTTTCAAATATATGGTGTAAAAACGTCTGAGTGCTGCCCTCTTCAGGTTAAACGGAAAGCTCCTGGAGTAGGGCACTCTGCGGCGTAGGGCACTCTGCGGCGTAGGGCACTCTGCGGCGTAGGGCACTCTGCGGCGTAGGGCACTCTGCGGCGTAGGGCACTCTGCGGCGTAGGGCACTCTGCGGCGTAGGGCACTCTGCGGCGTAGGGCACTCTGCGGCGTAGGGCACTCTGCGGCGTAGGGCACTCTGCGGCGTAGGGCACTCTGCGGCGTAGGGCACTCTGCGGCGTAGGGCACTCTGCGGCGTAGGGCACTCTGCGGCGTAGGGCACTCTGCGGCGTAGGGCACTCTGCGGCGTAGGGCACTCTGCGGCGTAGGGCACTCTGCGGCGTAGGGCACTCTGCGGCGTAGGGCACTCTGCGGCGTAGGGCACTCTGCGGCGTAGGGCACTCTGCGGCGTAGGGCACTCTGCGGCGTAGGGCACTCTGCGGCGTAGGGCACTCTGCGGCGTAGGGCACTCTGCGGCGTAGGGCACTCTGCGGCGTAGGGCACTCTGCGGCGTAGGGCACTCTGCGGCGTAGGGCACTCTGCGGCGTAGGGCACTCTGCGGCGTAGGGCACTCTGCGGCGTAGGGCACTCTGCGGCGTAGGGCACTCTGCGGCGTAGGGCACTCTGCGGCGTAGGGCACTCTGCGGCGTAGGGCACTCTGCGGCGTAGGGCACTCTGCGGCGTAGGGCACTCTGCGGCGTAGGGCACTCTGCGGCGTAGGGCACTCTGCGGCGTAGGGCACTCTGCGGCGTAGGGCACTCTGCGGCGTAGGGCACTCTGCGGCGTAGGGCACTCTGCGGCGTAGGGCACTCTGCGGCGTAGGGCACTCTGCGGCGTAGGGCACTCTGCGGCGTAGGGCACTCTGCGGCGTAGGGCACTCTGCGGCGTAGGGCACTCTGCGGCGTAGGGCACTCTGCGGCGTAGGGCACTCTGCGGCGTAGGGCACTCTGCGGCGTAGGGCACTCTGCGGCGTAGGGCACTCTGCGGCGTAGGGCACTCTGCGGCGTAGGGCACTCTGCGGCGTAGGGCACTCTGCGGCGTAGGGCACTCTGCGGCGTAGGGCACTCTGCGGCGTAGGGCACTCTGCGGCGTAGGGCACTCTGCGGCGTAGGGCACTCTGCGGCGTAGGGCACTCTGCGGCGTAGGGCACTCTGCGGCGTAGGGCACTCTGCGGCGTAGGGCACTCTGCGGCGTAGGGCACTCTGCGGCGTAGGGCACTCTGCGGCGTAGGGCACTCTGCGGCGTAGGGCACTCTGCGGCGTAGGGCACTCTGCGGCGTAGGGCACTCTGCGGCGTAGGGCACTCTGCGGCGTAGGGCACTCTGCGGCGTAGGGCACTCTGCGGCGTAGGGCACTCTCTGACGTAGGGCACTCTCTGACGTAGGGCACTCTCTGACGTAGGGCACTCTGTGGCGTAGGGCACTCTCTGACGTAGGGCACTCTGTGACGTAGGGCACTCTGTGGCGTAGGGCACTCTCTGACGTAGGGCACTCTCTGACGTAGGGCACTCTCTGACGTAGGGCACTCTCTGACGTAGGGCACTCTGTGGCGTAGGGCACTCTGTGGCGTAGGGCACTCTGTGACGTAGGGCACTCTGTGACGTAGGGCACTCTGTGGCGTAGGGCACTCTGTGGCGTAGGGCACTCTGTGGCGTAGGGCACTCTGTGGCGTAGGGCACTCTGTGGCGTAGGGCACTCTGTGGCGTAGGGCACTCTGTGGCGTAGGGCACTCTGTGGCGTAGGGCACTCTGTGGCGTAGGGCACTCTGTGGCGTAGGGCACTCTGTGGCGTAGGGCACTCTGTGGCGTAGGGCACTCTGTGACGTAGGGTACTCTGTGACGTAGGGTACTCTGTGACGTAGGGTACTCTGTGACGTAGGGTACTCTGTCACGCCCTTGCTGCGAGCTCACCACGCCCTTGGCAGCCCCTGGTATAAAAGCATCTGGTTCCGTCAAAACTACTGTAGCGAGTCAGGAGTTGGAATTACGAGTATTGAAAACAATCAGGATAGCGTATATTAGCAAAGATTTTTAGCATTAGCTTTATCTGTATTTAGTACACTGGTTAGGATGGTACGTAGGTGTAGTGTTGCTGGCTGCAACAGCACTGCTGGACTGCATAACTTTCCACTAGACTTGGAAATTAGGCGCCAGAGTTCCCGTCTATCGCTGTGTGCAACCTGCATTTTACGCGGGGTTGCTTCTCCAACGCAATGGAGGTGGAAATGGGCTTCTCCACACAGCTCGCGCTGAGAAGCGACGCAGTGCCAAACGCTGCTCTTACTGCATGGACTCCACCACCGCAGCGGCGTCAGGATGCGAGTGAGCATATATTTTTAATCACAATTTAAGTTCCTTCCTATTAGGCTAAAGTTAACCCTCTGGTGTCGGCAAACACGCCGGCGCGATTTGCTGGATTTTTTTTCACATAGCAGCAAAATATACTGAACGTAATAGTAATAATAATCCTGGAAAAAAATATTCTCGCTAGCATCGTCGGATGCCGATCGTGATGCGGGAGTTACTGTGCGAGAGTAAAATTTACTCTCGCCACCCTGCCAACGACGCCGTGGAAAGATTTGTGGACGCTCTGTATTTAACTGTATTTAAAGGGGCCGCAAAGCAAACAAGCATGTCGATCGATATTTTTGCAGACTGACAAAGTAGGTATAGGTGAACCTCATGGAATCTTTTAAATGTGAAAGTAATAAATTGATCGATGGAAAGAACTTAACAATTATAGTTTAACAATTAAAAGCCATTTGTGTGGTGTGGCTTTTGTGTTCATGGTTAAGTGCTAATCTAATTTGCATTCCCGCTGAAAAACAAGCCTTCCAAACCAAAAATCTTGCCTATAATAGTGTTGCGCGCCTTCTTATCAAATTAAAAAGATCAACCTCTCCTCTATTTTGCTTGGGAACTAATGTGGTCGGAACCAAAGTTTGCAGGACTGCGTTCCCTGGAATCCTCTCAAACGGAGCACTTCTAAATTCCGATTGGTTGCCGCCAAACCGCGTCATAGCTCATTACCATAAAGTTGACCTGGCTTCAACTTCTCCTCACCGCCCAAAACGCGCCGCGCCACGCCGCCCTCGCCGGAGCTCACCGCCGGTTCTCATTGAAACTGAATGGCTTCCGGCCACTTTGACGCTCTCGCCGGCGGCGGTGTGAACGCACGGTTAAGAACGCAGTTTGAGCTAGCGGCTGGAACTGATATGGCTCTGGCCCTGTGTCCACAGACAATTCAACATCCTCCACTTCAGGTGAAGGCGGGGGAGAAAAGTCCTCGACTTCAAATGACCGCTCTGTTGCAAAGCTACTTGCGTCACTCCAGTCGCTCTCCATTTTAGAGTCTAACAGCAGCTGTCACTGTGGGTCTCAGGTGCACCCCCCTTGTGTTCTGGGTGTGTGTGAGTGTGTGTTCTGAGTGTGTGTGAAGGCTGTGTGTACCGCAGTGCTGGCGGAAGGCTGTGTGTGTTCTGGGTGTGTGTGAGTGTGTGTTCTGGGTGTGTGTGAGTGTGTGTTCTGGGTGTGTCTGAGTGTGTGTGAAGGCTGTGTGTACCGCAGTGCTGGCGGAAGGCTGTGTGTGTTCTGTGTGTGTGTGAGTGTGTGTTCTGGGTGTGTCTGAGTGTGTGTGAAGGCTGTGTGTACCGCAGTGCTGGCGGAAGGCTGTGTGTGTTCTGGGTGTGTGTGAGTGTGTGTTCTGGGTGTGTGTGAGTGTGTGTGAAGGCTGTGTGTGTTCTGGGTGTGTGTGAGTGTGTGTTCTGGGTGTGTGTTCTGGGTGTGTGTGAGTGTGTGTTCTGGGTGTGTGTGAGTGTGTGTGAAGGCTGTGTGTACCGCAGTGCTGGCGGAAGGCTGTGTGTGTTCTGGGTGTGTGTGAGTGTGTGTTCTGAGTGTGTGTTCTGGGTGTGTGTGAGTGTGTGTGTTCTGGGTGTGTGTGAGTGTGTGTGAAGGCTGTGTGTACCGCAGTGCTGGCGGAAGGCTGTGTGTGTTCTGGGTGTGTGTGAGTGTGTGTTCTGGGTGTGTGTTCTGGGTGTGTGTGAGTGTGTGTTCTGGGTGTGTCTGAGTGTGTGTGAAGGCTGTGTGTACCGCAGTGCTGGCGGAAGGCTGTGTGTGTTCTGGGTGTGTGTGAGTGTGTGTTCTGCGTGTGTGTGAGTGTGTGTGAAGGCTGTGTGTACCGCAGTGCTGGCGGAAGGCTGTGTGTGTTCTGGGTGTGTGTGAGTGTGTGTTCTGGGTGTGTGTGAGTGTGTGTGAAGGCTGTGTGTACCGCAGTGCTGGCGGAAGGCTGTGTGTGTTCTGGGTGTGTGTGAGTGTGTGTTCTGGGTGTGTGTGAGTGTGTGTGAAGGCTGTGTGTACCGCAGTGCTGGCGGAAGGCTGTGTGTGTTCTGGGTGTGTGTGAGTGTGTGTTCTGCGTGTGTGTGAGTGTGTGTGAAGGCTGTGTGTACCGCAGTGCTGGCGGAAGGCTGTGTGTGTTCTGGGTGTGTGTGAGTGTGTGTTCTGGGTGTGTGTGAGTGTGTGTGAAGGCTGTGTGTACCGCAGTGCTGGCGGAAGGCTGTGTGTGTTCTGGGTGTGTGTGAGTGTGTGTTCTGGGTGTGTGTGAGTGTGTGTGAAGGCTGTGTGTACCGCAGTGCTGGCGGAAGGCTGTGTGTGTTCTGGGTGTGTGTGAGTGTGTGTTCTGGGTGTGTGTGAGTGTGTGTGAAGGCTGTGTGTACCGCAGTGCTGGCGGCCTCGTCCTCACACAGGTCGATGCAGATGTTGTCCTGTGGTTCTCCTGTGTGGTCCAGGACCCAGCCCTCGCTCCTCCGAGGCGTCGAGCCGCTCGCTCCGCTCTGGTACAGGGACGTCAGAGAGCTGTTCATCAGGTTCGTGTGCTGTCGAGACACACACACACACACACACACACACACACACACACACACACACACACACACACGCTTACCAGGAGCTGTGCTACATTACAGAGCTAAGCTAAACAGAGTCGTTTGATGGAGAACTATTGCGAAACGACGGCGGCGTTTCCATTAACCGATCTGACTAAAACATATTTTTTTCCTCTCATGATAAGTCATCGCAAACATCATGGCGACGGATGTTAGTGGGTTTGTGTATCTCAGCCACCGCACTAGACATTATTATTATTAACGGATGGAGACGTGTGTGTGTTATTCAGCATTAATGCCAAGGAAAGACTCTTACACTGTGTCCTAACCTGACGCGATGCGATAAGATTCCAGCAACAAATAATTTGTCTATTTAGACGCCACTAGACGGCGACGCGAGATGCATCAAAATCACTCAAAACCCACAGCCAATCAGAGCAGTGTGTGGGCGGAGTCTAGCGGCACCGGAGAGCAATCCTGACGGCACTCGCAAGAACATGGATAAGTACATAATCAAATTCACAAATATTACACCATTTAAACATTATTCAAACACATAGGCTACTGAGTTACTAAACAATCTGTGTCAAAGAATACACTTGTTTGTTCACAGTTTGAACGTTCTTGTTTCCATTTGTTTAATTTCAAGATCTGAGGCGAATTATCCATTGTTGCTTTTAAGCTGGAGCTCTAACTGATATTCAGAGTCACATGACACGCTTTTAACGGTAAATAAAGGACATAAACAGTGCCTGAGATCATCATCGCCACACTTTGTTTGTTGTTCGAGCGCGACGTCGCGGCTGGTTAGCACAAACACTCTGATGAACATTGAAAATAAGCCTTTTATCGCGCGGCGCCTGTAGTTAGGACACGGTGTAAGACTGTGAGCGGCGCGTGTGAGGAGTTTCTGGGAGATTCTCCTCAGTTCTGCTTCAAGCTCTTGATAAACTGTGGCGTTTCTGTGGTTTAGAATCCAGTATTCCTGTAATACTTCTGTCTTTCATGAGTTTAATAAAGAACTCGTCTCGTCTTCTGTCCACACACACACATCATCTACGACAGGAGACTGTACATGCGCAAAAGCTGTTTCCACTGCAGGGTTTTATATTCCTGTTTCGAAGTCCTTGAAGACCCCTCATGCGAGCGTGAAACTGTTTTGTGATACACGAGTTGCGATATACATGTTTCCATCGGGCGTATTTTCAATTAGCTCAATCTGAAGGGTGATGTGCGCGCGGCTGCGTCCCGCCTGGAGGGAGATGTGATGTGTCTGGTGTTGTGGAGTTACCTCGTGTTCGGGGACCTCGTCCTCGCTGTCAGTGCTGCCCTCGCTGGCGTCCCTGAAACACACAACAGCGTTAGGAGCACACAGGAGGAACACTGCTGATGATGGAGAGTGTGTGTTAGGAGCACGCAGCAGGAACACTGCTGATGATGGAGAGTGTGTGTTAGGAGCACGCAGCAGGAACACTGCTGATGATGGAGAGTGTGTGTGCTGTCGTACCCGTCCTCTCGGCTGCGCCGCGCTCGCTTGGCCAGGTGTGTGTTCTCCAGGACACAGATGTCAGACTCGCTGCATATCACTGCATACACTACACACACACAATCAAACACACTTTACCACCAACAGCTCAAAGCGTTTCCTTGGCATGCACACACACTGACACTGCTCTAACGCGTTCAACCCGTTTCATCACACATTGTTTCTTGCAATTTAAATACATGCACTTTACTCCTCAGACCTCCCCAACACACACACACACACACACACACACACACACACGTTATGCCCTCTTTGATTTTACGTTGGTTAAGTTAGTGCAATGTTTGGTTTTATACTCGGTTGATTATTATCATTTATAATAGATTAACAACTAATACATTTTTACTAATTTATTTGAATCTAATGTAATTATTTACTTCTAGTCACTATAAATGTATTTTGTCTATTTATTACATTTTAATCAAATTTATATTTATTTATATAATTAAAAAAGTGTTTAATCTACTTGAATCGATATACAGATGTGGAGAGAATTATTGTCACTCTATAAATCAGCATTGTTTATCTTTTTGATCTTTTATTTAAAAATTAAATTAAAACAAATAAATAAAATCTCAAAAATCGGACCTTTCATTGAGGTAAAATAAAGGTAAATCACAATATGAAATAAAAGTTCTCCAAAACACATCGGCCACAATAACTCTGGCCACAACTGTTATAGAATAATAACTACTATTTTTTAATCACATTTCTTCATTTATTTTTATCTAATTTAATCGATTTAATAGATAACTAAGATGTTATTTTAATCACATTTTATTTATTTATTTTAAACAAATTTATTTTATTTACTTCTACCAATTTCTACTATTTATTTATTTAATTTTAATAAAACATTTATTTATACAATTAATTTTTTATTTATTTTAATATAATTTATTCGATTTAATAGATTAATAACCAACATTTTTATTTTTATTCTATATTTATTTTAGTCCGATTTTTATTCATTTATTTTAATTCAATCGATTTAATTGCAAACAATTTTTTTTATTTGAATGATTTTTTTTAAATGATTTTAATCTAATTTAATCGATGGAATAGACTAATAACTTACTAAATTAATTTTAATTAGATTTAAATGTATCATTTATCTTAGTCTTATTTGTTTGTTTGTAATCTTCTCCACGGCCGGCGTCCCTCCCGGATCGGAAACCCCTGCTCTAACACAGTTTTCATATAATAATAATAACACAACAGTTTCAAGTAATTTGGACCTTTTTCCACTTGAATCCTGAAGGCGGTCCTGTTCCTGCGGCCGTACTCCGTCCTGCTCGAACACAAGCACATCTCAGACTCGAACACATCTCAGACTCGAACACATCTCAGACTCAAACACATCTCAGACTCAAACACATCTCAGACTCAAACACATCTCAGACTCAAACACATCTCAGACTCAAACACATCTCAGACTCAGACACATCTCAGACTCAGACACATCTCAGACTCAGGCACATCTCAGACTCAGACACATCTCAGACTCAGACACATCTCAGACTCAGACACATCTCAGACTCTAACACATCTCAGACTCTAACACATCTCAGACTCTAACACATCTCAGACTCAAACACATCTCAGACTCAAGCACATCTCAGACTCTAACACATCTCAGACTCAAGCACATCTCAGACTCAGACACATCTCAGACTCAAGCACATCTCAGACTCAAACACATCTCAGACTCAAACACATCTCAGACTCAAACACATCTCAGACTCAAACACATCTCAGACTCAAGCACATCTCAGACTCAAGCACATCTCAGACTCTAACACATCTCAGACTCAAACACATCTCAGACTCAAACACATCTCAGACTCAAACACATCTCAGACTCAGACACATCTCAGACTCAGACACATCTCAGACTCAGACACATCTCAGACTCAGACACATCTCAGACTCTAACACATCTCAGACTCTAACACATCTCAGACTCTAACACATCTCAGACTCTAACACATCTCAGACTCAAGCACATCTCAGACTCAAGCACATCTCAGACTCTAACACATCTCAGACTCAAGCACATCTCAGACTCAGACACATCTCAGACTCAAGCACATCTCAGACTCAAACACATCTCAGACTCAAACACATCTCAGACTCAAACACATCTCAGACTCAAGCACATCTCAGACTCAAGCACATCTCAGACTCTAACACATCTCAGACTCAAACACATCTCAGACTCAAACACATCTCAGACTCAAACACATCTCAGACTCAAACACATCTCAGACTCAAACACATCTCAGACTCAAGCACATCTCAGACTCAAGCACATCTCAGACTCAAACACATCTCAGACTCAAACACATCTCAGACTCAAACACATCTCAGACTCAAGCACATCTCAGACTCAAACACATCTCAGACTCAAACACATCTCAGACTCAAGCACATCTCAGACTCAAGCACATCTCAGACTCAAGCACATCTCAGACTCTAACACATCTCAGACTCAAACACATCTCAGACTCAAACACATCTCAGACTCAAACACATCTCAGACTCAAGCACATCTCAGACTCAAGCACATCTCAGACTCAAACACATCTCAGACTCAAACACATCTCAGACTCAAACACATCTCAGACTCAAACACATCTCAGACTCAAACACATCTCAGACTCAAACACATCTCAGACTCAAACACATCTCAGACTCTAACACATCTCAGACTCAAACACATCTCAGACTCAAACACATCTCAGACTCAAACACATCTCAGACTCAAACACATCTCAGACTCAAACACATCTCAGACTCAAACACATCTCAGACTCAAACACATCTCAGACTCAAGCACATCTCAGACTCAAGCACATCTCAGACTCAAGCACATCTCAGACTCAAACACATCTCAGACTCAAACACATCTCAGACTCAAACACATCTCAGACTCAGACACATCTCAGACTCAGACACATCTCAGACTCAGACACATCTCAGACTCAGACACATCTCAGACTCAAACACATCTCAGACTCAAACACATCTCAGACTCAAACACATCTCAGACTCAAACACATCTCAGACTCAAGCACATCTCAGACTCAAGCACATCTCAGACTCAAACACATCTCAGACTCAAACACATCTCAGACTCAAACACATCTCAGACTCAAACACATCTCAGACTCAAACACATCTCAGACTCAAGCACATCTCAGACTCAAGCACATCTCAGACTCAAGCACATCTCAGACTCGAACACATCTCAGACTCGAACACATCTCAGACTCGAACACATCTCAGACTCGAACACATCTCAGACTCGAACACATCTCAGACTCGAACACATCTCAGACTCAAACACATCTCAGACTCAGACACATCTCAGACTCAGACACATCTCAGACTCGAACACATCTCAGACTCGAACACATCTCAGACTCGAACACATCTCGGACTCGAACACATCTCGGACTCGAACACATCTCGGACTCGAACACATCTCGGACTCGAACACATCTCAGACTCGAACACATCTCAGACTCGAACACATCTCAGACTCGAACACATCTCAGACTCGAACACATCTCAGACTCGAACACATCTCAGACTCGAACACATCTCAGACTCGAACACATCTCAGACTCAGACACATCTCAGACTCAGACACATCTCAGACTCAGACACATCTCAGACTCAGACACATCTCAGACTCAGACACATCTCAGACTCAGACACATCTCAGACTCAGACACATCTCAGACTCGAACACATCTCAGACTCGAACACATCTCAGACTCGAACACATCTCAGACTCGAACACATCTCAGACTCGAACACATCTCAGACTCGAACACATCTCAGACTCGAACACATCTCAGACTCGAACACATCTCAGACTCAAACACATCTCAGACTCAGACACATCTCAGACTCAGACACATCTCAGACTCAGACACATCTCAGACTCAGACACATCTCAGACTCAGACACATCTCAGACTCAGACACATCTCAGACTCTAACACATCTCAGACTCTAACACATCTCAGACTCTAACACATCTCAGACTCTAACACATCTCAGACTCTAACACATCTCAGACTCAAACACATCTCAGACTCAAGAACATCTCAGACTCTAACACATCTCAGACTCAAACACATCTCAGACTCAAACACATCTCAGACTCAAACACATCTCAGACTCAAACACATCTCAGACTCAAACACATCTCAGACTCAAACACATCTCAGACTCTAACACATCTCAGACTCAAACACATCTCAGACTCAAACACATCTCAGACTCAAACACATCTCAGACTCAAACACATCTCAGACTCAAACACATCTCAGACTCAAACACATCTCAGACTCAAACACATCTCAGACTCAAGCACATCTCAGACTCAAGCACATCTCAGACTCAAGCACATCTCAGACTCAAACACATCTCAGACTCAAACACATCTCAGACTCAAACACATCTCAGACTCAGACACATCTCAGACTCAGACACATCTCAGACTCAGACACATCTCAGACTCAGACACATCTCAGACTCAAACACATCTCAGACTCAAACACATCTCAGACTCAAACACATCTCAGACTCAAACACATCTCAGACTCAAGCACATCTCAGACTCAAGCACATCTCAGACTCAAACACATCTCAGACTCAAACACATCTCAGACTCAAACACATCTCAGACTCAAACACATCTCAGACTCAAACACATCTCAGACTCAAGCACATCTCAGACTCAAGCACATCTCAGACTCAAGCACATCTCAGACTCGAACACATCTCAGACTCGAACACATCTCAGACTCGAACACATCTCAGACTCGAACACATCTCAGACTCGAACACATCTCAGACTCGAACACATCTCAGACTCAAACACATCTCAGACTCAGACACATCTCAGACTCAGACACATCTCAGACTCGAACACATCTCAGACTCGAACACATCTCGGACTCGAACACATCTCGGACTCGAACACATCTCGGACTCGAACACATCTCGGACTCGAACACATCTCAGACTCGAACACATCTCAGACTCGAACACATCTCAGACTCGAACACATCTCAGACTCGAACACATCTCAGACTCGAACACATCTCAGACTCGAACACATCTCAGACTCAAACACATCTCAGACTCAGACACATCTCAGACTCAGACACATCTCAGACTCAGACACATCTCAGACTCAGACACATCTCAGACTCAGACACATCTCAGACTCAGACACATCTCAGACTCGAACACATCTCAGACTCGAACACATCTCAGACTCGAACACATCTCAGACTCGAACACATCTCAGACTCGAACACATCTCAGACTCGAACACATCTCAGACTCGAACACATCTCAGACTCGAACACATCTCAGACTCAAACACATCTCAGACTCAGACACATCTCAGACTCAGACACATCTCAGACTCAGACACATCTCAGACTCAGACACATCTCAGACTCAGACACATCTCAGACTCTAACACATCTCAGACTCTAACACATCTCAGACTCTAACACATCTCAGACTCTAACACATCTCAGACTCTAACACATCTCAGACTCAAACACATCTCAGACTCAAGAACATCTCAGACTCTAACACATCTCAGACTCAAACACATCTCAGACTCAAACACATCTCAGACTCAAACACATCTCAGACTCAAGCACATCTCAGACTCAAGCACATCTCAGACTCAAGCACATCTCAGACTCAAGCACATCTCAGACTCAAGCACATCTCAGACTCAAACACATCTCAGACTCAAACACATCTCAGACTCAAACACATCTCAGACTCAGGCACATCTCAGACTCAAGCACATCTCAGACTCAAGCACATCTCAGACTCTAACACATCTCAGACTCAGGCACATCTCAGACTCAAACACATCTCAGACTCAAGCACATCTCAGACTCAAACACATCTCAGACTCAAACACATCTCAGACTCAAACACATCTCAGACTCAAACACATCTCAGACTCAAGCACATCTCAGACTCAAACATCTCAGACTCAAACACATCTCAGACTCAAACACATCTCAGACTCAAGCACATCTCAGACTCAAACACATCTCAGACTCAAACACATCTCAGACTCAAACACATCTCAGACTCAAACACATCTCAGACTCAAACACATCTCAGACTCAAGCACATCTCAGACTCAGGCACATCTCAGACTCAGGCACATCTCAGACTCAGACACATCTCAGACTCAGACACATCTCAGACTCAGACACATCTCAGACTCAGACACATC